TATATATATATAGTAGTCTTTCTCTAAAAGAAAGTAAATTTCGCGAAAGAACATTATTATAGAGAATATTATTTTTAGATTACATTTATGTGAACTACACATAAATTGATACTAATAACATCCAGTGTTGAAAACAACGTGGTATACACTGCATTGCATTACTTTCATTATAAATATATTATTCACACACAAGTAAGTATTTGTCATATTCGAGCCAAGAAAAAGTATAAGTTTATTCTGGCAGTAAAATGTACGTTCTTGCAAACGTTTTTGTATATATATTTATATGTTGACCCATGCAATATCGCACGAGGATAATAATTATTTTTTTTTCCTTCTCTATTCTTTTTATTAATCTCGTGTCATTGCCCTGTATAAATCCTACCTCAATGGTGATGACAATTCAATCCATCATGGTATACAGTTTTATACTTATGGCATAGAAGTTTTTTTGTAACATTAACTACCTAAATTATTGTCATCATCACGAGACATAGAAGTTATCAAAGTATCGACGTAATAGTCGAACACTAAGACGTAACAAATAGAATTATAGCTAAATCACTCGCATTCAGCATACCATTAGCACATAAAAACATTTAGCTATAGCATGTATAACTTTAACAATGCCCCTTTATTCGATTAAATTTTTCTCTTAGGTTTGCAAATGTAACATGATAATCTAATATTTTTCTTAATCTCAATAAAAAAATCACATCTTTAAGAAACGTGGACTGTTCTACAAAACATAATACTTTTTCGAATTAATTGGAAATACAAACTGCGTACACGATTCTAAACGCAATTACAATAAAATATAATAACACAAGAGATCATGAAAAAATGTATGTTTGTATATATTACAAAATTAGAGATCTGTTAACAACAGACAAACTTTCATATTTAGTAAAAAAAAATCCTGCAAAACAAAAGCACACTATTCTGATTTTTATAAAAAATACTGATAAGAAAATATCGAAGTGTTATTCAAAGTGTTATACGTGAAAATTATTCACCATAGGTCGAATTATTTTCATTGCTAGCGATAAAAATAATATTTTTATCGAATAAAACTTAACAGTCTTCTGGTTGAATGTTGAAATACTGCAGAACAAAAAAGTGTGTTAATATAAAATTAAATTTGTGTGAACGCTATATGTATATATACATATATATATATATACACACGTTTTTTTTTTTGAATAAATATAAAACAATTTTTATTAATTGAAACTCGACAAAAATTTATTGTTTATAAATTATAAAGCTTTCAGCTGGTATTTAGTTTTCTTAAAAAGAAAAATTATTAAGAATGATATATAAGCCATGAGATGTAGAAACAGCGTCATATATTCATGAATATTATTATCTCGTCTATTGAGAAAGCAATATTAGGCTGAAACATAGTGAAATAAAATGCAATTCTCTACGTGTATATTTTCTTTCAATTCCGTTTCATAGTTTATCATTGTTTCAGTCCAACATTACTTAACATGCGTAGTAATTGCACAAATAAAAATGGCTCTTACATTATTATTCATCCATACCAGAAATTTAATAATGTTTTTCCAAATATTTCCAAATATTTACTTATTAACAAATTACGGAAAAATTTTTTTCTATCTTTTGTTTTTTTTTTCTTTTTTTTTTTCTTTTTCTTTTTTTTTATTTTTTTTCTTTTTTTTTTTTAATAATGAGCAAATATTTCTGATTAAACAGAAATTCATTATGACTCGTAATTTGCCAATACTAGCAACTTTGGTAATATCTGTTTCTGGTAACTACGCACAAAATATTATGAAACTAGAAGCGAATGTTCATTCCACGCGAGTATTTTAACTTAGTTAAATAGAGCTATATCGATTTAATTTTATGTTTGTTTATACTTTCATATGAGAAATCATATATATACATATATAATATATATATAATGATGAAATATATATATATAATATATATATAATATATATATATAATATATGTATATGTAAACAATACTAAAGTATATAAACATATATTCATCAAACACTTTCGCTATAAATAATCGTGCACGCACGCACTACGAGATTCTTAAATAAAATATAAAACACAAAAATATAGTAAGTTTCAGACAAAGGAGGTATATTTTTTTAATTAGAAATATATCGATCTATAATTAGAAATATATCGAGCTATAAAGCTACTTCGTAGAAACAATTTATAAAAAAATGATCAACATTAAAGATCATTGCTAATAAGATTATTTTATACTCGAAGTACCCCAATTATTTTCTTCCTTTGTAAAAAAAAAAGCAGTATTAAAAAATATACATTAAATAAAACATATTCAAATATAATATTGAACATACACATAACGAGCAATGAACATAGTTCTACCACATGGTGCGATATTGAGCAGTTTGCACTTGATAATATTCACACTAAGGCAATTTTGTATAATGAATAACACTGCATATTTCTTCCATTCACTCTCACGCGCGAGCATTTGCTCTGCGTACCACAAAGTCTTTTTTCTTTTGAATAATTTACAATCACTACTTAAGTTTGATACTTAAAATCTGTCTGTGCAAACGAAACGACGAGCTGCTCAGACGGGAGTATAATTTCCTTTCGGTTTGTAAAATATCTGCCCACTCGCGAAACGCCTCATAATTTCAGTTAATAACAGACGTTTTTCTTTCCTAATTTTTTTAAGTATACCTCGGTTCTCTTGTGCACGTCGAGAAAGATATGGTAATACTTCTTTGACTGGACCATAAGGAATATATTTGTATGCTGAATATCCAGATTGGCCTAAAAATATTATAAATTGATTATAATAAAACATTAAATATATTACGTAATATTAAATTACGTAGGAAAAAATTTTTGAAGGTAGAAAATAAGAAATTTTTTTAAATCTTTATTATAAAAAACATACATACCTAATGGAAATGTTATGTAGTCACACATTCCTAATAACTGACCAAAACAAATCACTTTATCTTCTGGCGAGATTCCTATCTCCTTCATTCTGTTTCATGATAACATATTTTGAATAATACCATGAATATATATAATAATTTAATAAATTTAATAATAATAGTATGTCTAATATATAATATATATCTTATAAATAATATTATATATGTAAATAATTTTTTTTAATTATTTTTTTAATACATTCGATGCAAATATTTAATTGTAAAGTTCTTATCATTATTAACAAATATTAAAAAATATAAAATAATAATATAGAAAATATTTTATAGTACATACTTTTCTATCGCAAAGCGTACTGTATCTTCATTGTGTGATGCAACCATAATTCCGATTTTCTTTGGATCTTCTCCTTTATCTTTGTATTGTTTCATCCGCCTTAAGCATTCCATTAAAGTTCTATGATAAGAATCAGTTGTAGCTTCGTATGTAGGATTTGTTGGATCAGGATAACCCATCGCTGCGGCTCTTGCTCTTTCCTACATTAAATTTTTTTCAACATAATCAATAATACTTTTGCTGTCACTGATTTAAAATTATGTTTTTTCTTAAAGTATATAGTTTTAAACGTACATGTATATATCTACTAAATTTATATATTTAATTTTTGTAAATATATTTTCATAAATATATATATAATAGTTATTATTATAATAATTACTATTTACTAATTAATATTTTAAACTTTAATTATTTTTTTTCATTTTTGTTGATATATTTTGTCATAATTAAAATTAATTTTCTTTTTTACATAAGAAAAAATCTCATAATGAAGAATTACCTGTTCAATATACGCGCCTCGAACGAGTTTAGCACCAAAGTAGAAGTTCTGACGTTCAGCCTGTTCTAGATCCGTTTTCACTTCATTAAAAGCCTCTTGCAAGTATGTCTGGTACGTATTGAACACCACGGCCTAGGAAGTAGACCATTTGGGTTTAGACCACTGAAAATTTACTAAGTGATAATATCACATCTACAGAGACAAAGCATTTACCTTACGTGTATTGTACTTGCGCATCATCTCCAACGTTAATCGCGATATCGCAGGTTGGAAATACGTTTGTTCGGCATCTATCATTATACGTACGTCTAATTTATCAGCCACCTGTAATAAAAGTTAGCAATTCTGTCTTTGCTAACAAACTAAATTTCTTCTTTATATATTTTCTATAATAAGAGATAAAAATATTGAGAGCCTTTTTTTCTTAAACATAAAGTATTTTATACAACGAAAAATATTAAAAAATAAAAAAATATTAGTTTGAAAATTTAGACAAAATTTAATAATTTTATATTTTTCATATTACACTTCTATGTTACAATTGTAAATTTTATTATATTTTTTTTTACGATAACATTTTTTATTTTTTATAAATATAGCACTCAATACTTTTTACTCAAATATTTTAATTCTTTTTTAATATTAATAAAAAATTATATTATTGCATCAAAAAAAAAAAAGATTTAAATATATAAAAAATACAATTAACATAATATCATATTGAATAGAACATATTTAACATAATATCATAACATAGAAAATTTAAAATCATTCAATTTTGTCTTGAAAAATATTTTATTCTATTTTTAATTGTTTTAAAAATAGCCAATTATTTGGCATTCCGTATTTCATTCTTTTTTTTATATTTTTATATTTTATATTTTTATATATTCATACCGTGACGATATTATTGAGACGTCTTATCATATTTCGGAACATTTCCTCTTCTTTGGACGTAAGCTGTGACATAAGCCTAACCATCTTTCCTGTTTTAATGTCTGGTACTTGGAACGTTTCGCTGAGCTCGTAGTTCTCATCTAGAATACCACTCCATGGGAACAAGTGAATGACACTATAAAAGAAAATGAATTTCTTGATTTAAAGAAGAAAAAACATGTCATTAAAAAATATATATAAAAAAATATTAAAAAATAAAAATTTTAAATTAGGAAATGTGTTCGTAACTTTTATTGGAAAATAAAAAAAAGAATAAAAAAGAAAAGAGAAAAAATAGAAAATAAAAAAAAAATGATAATTTATAAAAATTAATAATAAGTAACTATTATATATCGATAGGAAATAAAGAAAGAAAATATTAATTTATTTGAATAATTTTCATTTTCTAAACAATAGCAATTTTCAATAGCAAACAATAGCAAATTACCCTTCTTTATCCGATTGAATTTTTTGTAGAAACTTTTGTACTGTTTCTTCATCTTTGATGTGTGCTTCCTCAAATTTTTTCATAAAATCATCTGGCTTGGCATGATGAGTTAAAACAGCGCCTTCACCACCAACTACATCCGACATATATTGTCGCGCTCGCATAATTACTTCTGATAGTTGAAGCTAAAAAAATATACAATTATTTGAGACACTATTCATTTATTCATTTTTCATAAATATATGAATAATAAAATAATAATAGATTTCAAAACTAATTTTCGTTATAAAAATATAAAAAATTATTTGATCAATATAACATAGTATTAGAAAGTTATTTTTTTTATATTTATCAATAAAAGATTTTATTTGTTAAGAAAATTTATTTACCAATAATTGTGGACGGCCAAGAGCAGTTAATTTAACAGCGGTAAAGCCAACTCCCATTGAAGCACCTATATAAAAATGAATTGATGAAATAATATCAAACAATATATGATATTAAAATTGATAATAAGAAAATTATTTCAGGAAAAACGGATAAAAGGATTAAATAAGGAATTATAAAAGAAAGGACTTTTTCTTCTTACCAATTTTATCTTGCAATCAGTTGAAATTTAGAATTCAAGAATATTAGGTTCAGGATTTTCTGAATGATTCACTTGATTCTCTGTAATTAATTTATTTTTTATAAATAATCATAAAACTTTTTTAACTTAAAAAGTAAGCTTTGTTTTATATTTATTTTATCGTTGGAAAAAAAAATTATTTTTTTATGATATTTCTTCAATGAAATTTATATTATACATAAAATATTAAACAATTTTTAATTATTTTTTAAATAATTAATATATTTTATTAATTTACAATAAATGAAATGAATAATTTTTTTTTATTTCTTTTCATTCGAAGAAACAAAATAATGAATTTATCATTTTATAAAAATAACATCAGGCAATTATTTCAGACTATAGAGTAACTACGCAATTCAAACGATGAAAAAATCTTTTGGGTAAACCACCGTTAAGTCACGTTATTGGTTGCATGATTGAATAAAAGATTCTCTAAAGATATTTATAGATAGTTTTCGAGGTCTTGATTTGTAACAAAATTTTAGAATTCCATTGCCAAAAATTTATCTATTTATCATATTCAAATCAATTTTTTAAATTTAAATTTTTGTTAACTTATATTTCTAATGTAATTAAAACATTAAATAATATATAATTAAAACTTATTATAAATTTTTTAAAAATGTATGCATAAATATAAGAACGATTAAAAACAATTGATTAAATATATTTAATAATGCAATTAAACTAATTATTTAGAAATTTTAAAAATCAATATAATATATACAATATAATAATTCGATTAGTTAGTTATTTTTTTTAAATTATTGCAATTTAATCAATGGGCAATGTTCAATATTTTGTATCGAATTCTTTAAGTTAAATTGCAATGATTTATGAATTGCCAATAAATTCTTTCGCGATAAGCGTTAATCTTGAAAATTTATAACGTTTATTAATTTTATGCAATCGATCATAAAAAACTGAAAACAAGTACGAGAAAAATTGAAAAAAATGTCGCTTTGGATGAATTAATCATTCAATGAATTAATTATTATTTATAATTAATTTCTTTTTCTTTTCATTGCATTCCATATCATTCTATAAATTTTAAAAGAACAAGTAAAGAATAAGTAAAACTTTACTGTATATATTTGATTAGATATATTGAATAAATTTTTCTATTTGAAAAAAGAAAAGCAAAATTTTAATAATTGACTCACCAGCTACAGATTCCAGACATCTGATAAATATGTCCATATTTCGTTCACAATTAGCTTCGTTAAGATAAAAGTACGTTCTTGCCGAGGATACCTTATACCGACGATCCGCGAATGGTTTTGCGACATGATATTTTTTTAATGGACCTTCCCTTTTTTCATCTCCAGCTTCTGATACGGAACCTCTGTAAATCACAATTATTTATATCATATCAATTAATTTTCATTTATGATTTTTTTATAAAGAGATAATAGAAATAAAAATATCAAAGTTCTATCAATTTTTTTTATTCTTCTAATATCAATTCTATTCTTAGAATAGTTGAATAATTAAACATTTCTTGAAATATTTTTATTTACCATAGAATATATAACAACACTCAAATTTTCTTTTGTTAAATCTTTGTTAAAACGTTAAGATATTATATATTTTATAATAAATTATAACTAACAATGAAAATAAATTTTAGACTGAAAAAAAATAAATAACACGTGTATAATATCTTATAACATATATAATGAGAATATTTTTTTGAATTTTATTAATTTCTTTTTACATTGGACACATACTGCATTTCTCGTCGTTCCGCTTCCTCTTGCGAGATATCTTCTTCGACGGAATAATCAAGAATCGGTTTCACACCGAATTGCCGTAACCTATCTAGGACAGGAGTGATTTGCTGCTCGTCTTCGCCGGCGACAAAGTGGCCGTAAAAAGTTGCTCTCATAAATTTTGTAAAAAGTGTCTCCCCAAGTATTTGCTTGGCAAATTTCATTAACTGGAACAAAACGAAATTTATGAGAAAATTTTTGATATAATTAACAGATTAAAAACGGATCAAAAACAACTATATCATTACAAATTATATTTTTAACAGAAAAATTTTATAGATGATTTGTATGAAATTTTTTCTTTGAAATAGATATTGATACAATTCTTTTTATTCTCAACTGATATGGTAGATTTGTATCATAAATTATGTAGTGTATTATGTATTATGTAGATCAAAATAATTTTCGTCTTTTTTTTTTTATTATATTGAAATGTAAATAAATACTAGCAATATTTTTTAGAAAAGAAAGATTTTTGTAAAAAGAAATTTAAAATAAAAAAAGAGAAAAAAGAAGATTCAAATTTAATTTAGAAAATGAATTGCTACAAAATAATAAATTTTGTTAAAAAATATAATAGATTAAATTCGTATCTTAATTAAATTAGAAAATATTTTTTTCAAGATATTATGTTTGTTCGAAAAAGAGAATCTTCATGATCTAGTTCACCACAAATTGCTATGCATATCGCTCTAATTTCTACTAAATTTATTATGTATTTTTGTACTTTTGTACAGATAAAATTGCAAAAACGAATTATCAAAAAATATTTACTCAAATATCAAATAATTTCAAAAATATAATATAATAAATATATAAAAATGATATAATTCATCAAATTACAAAATGTATAAAAAATCATTTATAATACTTATTTTGTATCTCTACATAAAATCACGTGAAATTGCAAAATACAAAAACGATCATAAATGTCGAATTGAAAATAGTGATACTAATTTGAAAAATCATAAAAGTGATATACTACACATTTTATTCTCTGAAAAATTTGCTTGCGAAATTGTTATATAAGGTTAGAAATTACATCATGAATAATATTTTACAATGATTATTATACTGTGGTTAATTTCGCAATAAAAATTCACGTTTCAGTATGTTCAATTATCATAAAAGTTATTGGTAAAAATTACATGTCATGTCACTAGATTATATTTTTTCGAAACTACTTAATTTCTCAGTCAATTTTTCATAACAATATTTCTAAAAATGATGAATAAATAATAAAAGATGGCGAATATATAATAAAAATTCTAAAATAATAATAATGAGTTCAAAATAATTATATTTTTTGAAATTGCAAATTTTTTCATTTTTACTATGCTTTTTACTTTCTTTCTTTTAATTAAGAAATATTTTACGAGTAATTCGTATTTATATATAAATTGAAATTTTTCTATATATTACTTATAATATAATATTATACTATTATAATATTCTATATATTATTCTATATATTCTGTATATTAAATTTTGACTTAAAAATTCAAAGTCCAAGTCTAAGTTCAATTACTGAAACTGTTTAGAATTCCAATTGAAAAAAAATGTAATTTACAAGTTCTTTGTAATATAATTTGCACAAGTTCTTACGTAAGTTTCGTATTTGCGTGAAACAGAAGTAGATAAGTAGTCAAGAACCAATTAAGATTTTGAATGATATTTTTTTATATTAATAATATTTTCAATATTTTATTTAATAATATTTATATATATATATATATATATATATATATAGAGAGAGAGAGAGAGAGAGAGAGTTGAAATTTTGTAAACATGCAATTTCATATATTAAAACAGAAAATTAAAAATTTGAAAATTTGAATAAAATTTCTATGATATTTTGTGTAATAATTTTTTTTTTGATAATAAATTTAATAACAGTATTCTTTTATGTTTGACGATTTTATTATTAAAATTATTAAATTTAATTAACTAATTTATTATTTATGCAAATAGAATAAAAGATGACACATTCTTAGTAAAAATTCGATTTCAGTAAGCGAACACAATAATGATCTGATACTTGACACAGAAATTCCAAGACGTCATTCTATAGTGATGTAATACTTGATCTTTAAATGATCTTCTTATTGAATGAAAGGTTTTAAAGATTTAAAATTTAGAGCATGAATTTTCAAACTATAGATCACAACTCTAAAGAATTGTATGAAGTAGTTTTAAAGGATAATTATTTACAATTTTATATATAAAAAAATATATAATAAAAACTATTAACACTTATATAAATTTTATTAAAAAATTAATTTCTTATTTAAATTTTTGAATACAATAAACTATTTAATATCAATTATTCATGAACGCAAATATCAACGAGCATTTGTTAATAAATTGTCATATGATAGTTTAATAACAAATGAAATTAATCTCATCAAATAAATGCCTAATGTATTACAGGTGTAATTACAAGTGCCAAACCGAGTAAAATATGCAGTATAAAAATAGATTTAGATCTATGAATGATATAGTTGGTTGAGTAATCAAAAAATATTATGAAACTCGTTTCATTCTATTAACTGGAATAATTAAGTATAATAATAATTAATTTGTTTGACCAATATCCTAAGCATTTTTATTTGATACCATACCAAGAACAATATCTTCGTCATGTAAAAATATTTTTGAACTAAATGTCAGTGTCGATACAAAAAAGTGATAATAAGACAGTAAAAGTTACCTTGAAACATATACTACTGATAAAAAATTTGTAATTATTTTTTTCACATTTATAAATGAACAAAAATAAATTAGAAATCATTAAAAGTAATTTTTTTTTAATTTGACAAATTTCTTTACGAATTTTTTTTTACATAAGATTCTAACCTAACTTTTTTCAACTTCAATTTGATCAAATATAAAATTTTAAAATGATCATTTTGATTAAAATACAAATAATATTTTTTATTAAGATTATTAAAGATTGTGAAAAACTCCATGGTATTTACTAAAATTTTATTCAACACAATATTACTAAAAAAACACATTCATCAAAATGCGGACATTGCTCTCGAACCTGTACAGTCGATTTCGTCAATTCGTTTCCGCTAAACACTTTGCATAAACACATGATGGTGAAGGTATTCCATATCAGGTTTTAAATTAAAATTCCTGATGTTGTGTTGATAATTTGTTTATAACAAAAATGACAATTATTCTAAATATTATTACAAAATTATACTGAAATAAATATTAACAATTTTATCAAATACTTTTAGATATTAAAGGAAAATTTGTTGTTGTATTATTTAATTTCATTATTAATGAATATTATTCATAATATAATAATATAATATTATTAATTAATACTACAGATATCAATAATTATTTCATTTACATTAACGAAAAAAATTCTTAAATTCTTCATAAAAAGAAAGAATTCTTTGCAGTGACAAAATTCTAACCTAACTTTTCTTTTCTTAAAATTCTGAATCATGTTAATGATTTCAAACTTTTGATTTGGAAAGATTCGAAACAGACGATTTTTAACTTTTGAATAGCAGTGTAACGGTGATATCCAATGCGAACAGGACATAAGCTATTGATTAGGAAGCATATAGCAGGTCTATGTGAGAACATCTACTTTCTTTACCAGGATCAATACGGGTCTTGGCAAAAATGTTCATCCTTAGACATTAATTGGTAATCGATAACCATTATCATTTTTACGTAATTAAAAAATACGTGACATCGTCTTAAAACTTGATTTTGAATGCAAATATTAAAAGTATTTGTATAAAATCTATTATTCATAGAATCTTTTTATAGAAATCATACTAATAATTTATTAGATCAGTGGTTGCTATTTCTCAATTGATGATTCTATTTTTATTTCATTTCATCTAATGTAAAATTAAATTATTTATAATTTAATTTTATTTATAGTAACTATAAGTATTAATCGATACATTTTTATATATTATATTATGTATCATTCATTCATTCGTTTCAATATTCTTCTAAAAATATCTCATATATATATTAACACTCTGTACATATGTTATAGATAATAGAACTGTTAGTTAATCAGAGATTTATATACATTTAAAAATAACTACCGTTAACCCATTAATGTAACAGCAAATGTACTAAAAGATTGATGGAATATCGAAAATACGTAATAGAGTTTTTCAAAGAGCGATATAAAAGTGATACAAAATAGAAGAAACAATAAGCTCATAATTCGAGAAAAAGTAATTAAATAACAAGAAATTAAAAGAGAAGTAATAGAATAATTAATGGATACTGATAAAATTCATACGAGTTAGCCGTATAACAAGAAACGTAATTAGTGCCTAGAAATAAAACCAGACGATGGTTGTGTGTTGCAAACGAAAAGGGTTGAATGTAATTACGATCGTGTTTCCACATCGATCTGATTCCGCTAGGTTTCACGGGATAATTCATCGTTGAAATCATAGGAATCAACTGTCAAAAGAAGAATTTCCCAATTGATGAATACTTTATTCAATGTTATTTCACAGCCAATAATCACGATTGTTTCAAATTTTTATTATGGCAACTATTAATTTCTTTGAACGTGTAATGAAAAGAAAATACTTGACCATCTGATGGCAAGTATACAATCCACACTTATGTAATGAAGATAGAATAGAATGGGATAAGTAGTCCATAATAGAATCATTATTCCATAAATAATATAATATTAGTGAAAAATAATTCGGATAAAAGTTGATTGAAAGAAATAAATAGTATTTTTATAAACGGATGTTTTTTACAATATTTTGCAACATATCACGAAATTAAGAATAAATTAATAATAATAAATAAACAATAATAAAAAAACGCAACACAATGATTTCTGAAGAAATAAAAAAACAGAATTGTTAAAACAAAAAAATTTCAATTTCAAACAAGCAAGAATTATATATAATTAAAAAAAAAAGAAAAATAAGAATCTTTATATTTTAATATTTTTTAAAAAAAATTCTATTATTGAGGCAAATATAAACATATATAAACATATTATTAGCAATATTTATATTAAAAATAAACTGCATAATATACTCACTAATGTTTTGTTTATGTAACACTGATAAGAAAGTTTTATGAAGATTATTAGAGTTTACCAATGTTATATAGACATACTGATAAGTCTTGCTATAAAGCTATTGAA